CATCGCTGTGTCCCGCTTCCCTCCTTTCCGCCTTCCCTCCTTCCCAGAGCGTGCCCGGGAGCAGCGCGGTTGTCTGGGAGGGCGTTATAAACAGCTCGGAGAACCTCTTAGGTGCGGACTTGTCACCCGCCTGGTGCATTAAGGGTTGTAAGAATTGATTATTTTTTCCCCCAGCCTCCAAAAAAGACTAATACATATGCCAGGCTCTGTTTTTTTTTTCTTTTTTTTTCTTTTTCTTTTTTTTTTTTAATAAAACTAAACAGATGGCACTCCTTAAACAACATCTCAAAGACACTTTTAGCCCTCTTGATGACTGAAGAAGCTGTATAGGCTATATGTGATTGTGTATCCTACCCACTCTACTTCTCCCAACTGTGCTCAGTTGGGGCTTTAAAATAGAGCCATCTGTTCTGAAGGTTAAGCAGCAACTTGTGCATGCCAGGCATTGATCCTTGTGCAAAGCGATGTGCAAGAGAGGCCTTCAAAATGCTACAGGCCCCTCAAAGTCACAGGAGAAGTGGCCTCATGTGCTGTTTGATGCCTTCAGGTCTGCTTTTGAGACAAGTTTTTCAGAAGAGGCCCAAACTGTGCCTGATAATATTATCCTTAGCAAGGGATGCTCTTAGCTTGATGTAATTCTATGTGGGCAAACTAGAGCAATAAAATATAACTTTTTTTTAAAAAAAAAAGTGCAGACTGTTAGGAAGCTGTTGTCATCTAGAGAGTGAAGATGGATAGTTGTTAGCTTCAGAGTAATTACTTTGTAGCAAACAAATGTAATCTCATATTAAATTGCTTTCCCTGGTTTAAGTAGGTGCTCTGGTAGAATTTGATACTTTCCTTTGTATCTAAGACTGAGCCTTTATAAAAGGATGGAGAAGGAAGTGGTATTTTATATACCAATCTCAGTCACTTAATATGCAACAAATGTCATTAGTCCAACACCGTGTTCTTTAAAATCGGATTTGAGTAGAAATGCTGTGTATCTCTGCCATTATCTCTGTGGTTATGTGGATTTTGGTGGGTGTTACCTCGGTGCTTGGGACCTCCTTACGCAGAGAAGCTTTGAAAGAGAAGGATGCTCTTAATGTTTGTGCTGTGACTTGCTGTTAAGAAAGATTTCTGGAAGTGCTGTGGGTTTTGTTGTTTTGGCTTAAAGGTTGAGGACCCTGTGCTATAACAAAACTCTGCTCGCAGCTCCGTCATCACAGGACCTGCCCACTGAACAGTGCAGTGCGTCCAAGTGCAGTGGTTTGCAGAGGTCAGGAGCCTTAATTTCCATTGATCTCCACTCTGTAAGAAAGCAGCACCATATTCTTTAAATATTCTTTATTTATAGAACTGCCGTAGTCTTTCTTGATTTATCACGGTTCCTTTTGTGATTATCTGCATAAGGCTTTTCAGATGTTTTTTATATGTTATTTATTTTTAATTTCTTACTGTCTTTTTTGTTTTGACTTATTTATGTTGACTTGTTTTGTTTGACTGGAGAGGCAGAACTTTTTGAGGAGAAGGTTTTTGTTTTAGTACAAGCTCTTTGACTTTGTGTTTTGCCATGTGGTTTACCTCCTTGCAAAATACCATGAGCTGTTGAACACTGTCAGTGTTAATGTTGTAGGAAGGGTACATTTTAGAAATAGTGAGAAATTGTTTAAATAGTGAAGCAATTAATGATTTTTCTTTTCAAGCGATTAGCTGAAACAATTGATTCAAATAATTTTGATGGGAAGTGAGAGGTGGTGATGGGAATGTGGGCACTTTAGGATGTTGATGGTAGAACTGCTTGTGGTGGTGCCCGAGTGACATCTTGCTGACTGACTTCCTGAACCTCCCTTCTTCCTTGTCTCCCTATAACAAGGCCTAATGTGTGTAATAGAATTTTAAAACAAAGGTGATTTATTCTTTTCTAGTATTGCAAATTCAGCTAAGTGTGCCTATGTGAATCCCACTATGTTTTTCAATTTCTGTTTCAGCAATGCCAATGTTTTAGAGCTTATAACAAGCTTTGAAGTAGAGTTATGTACCTGAGGAGTGCACATTGTTTACGGTTGTCTTGCAGGGCACAAGCAGGATGTGCTTTCTGTAAGTGTTAAGCATTGCTCTAAGATTGATGCAGTCTATCACGAATGGTTTGGAATGGTTTGGTTAATTATAAAATTGTCACTGATAAAACTTGCAAATGAAGAAGCCAACTATTAAATAGTGAGAACAGAACAGCTGTACAAAACTTCCTAGGTCTTGTGTTGTGTTATGCTAGTAAAACAGTAGTTCACCTTAGTGCAGCCATATTCAAAGTAATGCATTAAAGAAAAGAAGCATGTCAAGGGGCCAGGACATTAAACTTCTTGACTTTTAGAGTATTGATGTGAACAGTTAGGCAGAAGTTTTTAGTATAATGCTTTGATTAGAGGGGAAAAAAAAAAAAAAAAGATGGGAGGGCAGGGGGGTTAGAAAGAAGCAAGGAGTGTTTTTTTTTTTTTTTTTCCTGAGTATATGGCAATACTGCCAATGGAGTCCTATAGTTCTGAGTCTTTAAAAGTTGTGTTAAAGATTGGAGCGCATGGAAAGAGTTAAAAAATGGTTGCAATGGTATCTTATGGCAGCAAAAAGCTTTAAAGAGCGCAGCCTGCTCACATGATTAAAAACAGGGAGGAGTGACTTTTTTGCAGCGTGTAAATAAATGCTCCCTTACTGAGAAGGGGTGCTTTAATCAGTACATACTTAACAAGATCCAGTTGCTGGAAAGTGAAGCCAGATGGGATCAAATTGAAAAGCCCAAGCTGTAAACAGTGAGAGTGAGTAATCACTGTAACAAAACAAGAAGGGAAACAGTGGATTATCTGTCTCTTGATGTTTTCAGCTAAAACTTGGATGTCTTTTTTGGATGCTAAACCCCAAATCCTAAACGGAGATAACTGCCTGATGATTAAGGTCCATGAATAGCGAACGGCTTGGACCACTCCAGGATGGATCTTCTGAATGACATGTGTGTGCAATCTTCGTTGTGTTTGAGGTGCAGAGGCCCAAACAGACAGGGCGAATGTGGCATCCGTTGCTCTGCAGTAGAAAAACCTGGATGTGCACCCAGGGTGCCCAGGACTGGATGTGCACCCTGGTGCACAGGAGTGCTGCTCTGAGCACTTGACTGCTTGCCTGCCTTCTCCCTGTGTTCCGTGTGGTACAACTCCGCTTCCTTTATTCAGAAAGGAATTCCCTAGTATAGGAATGCTGCCTATGGCCTTTGTGCTTGCTATCCTTGAACTAAATCATCTTGGTAGACCTTCTCACCCTAAACTCCTTAGATCTTTCTAGACAAATGCTTCTGATAAAAGTCTCTGACTGTTTTGTAGTAAGTGGTGATAGGTTTGGATATTTTATTTTGAAATTCAAGAATTATGGAGGAATATTTAGGATATGGATTTTGTTTATACTATTACTTCGTTGTTGATGTGTTATTTTGTTGGTTTGAAAAATATTCCTATGACATTGCCTGAACTGCTGAAGATATTTCTGCTCTCCAGGGCTGCATTTGCTCTTAATTTTTGTTCCTAAAGAATTCCTATTAGGAAGAAAGCTTTGTTTTATACTGCTGTGAAATGTGTTCTCTGGTGTTGTTAGCATGTTTGAGATAGAGAAGTATTGATTATTACAAATATTTTTGTGGCATTAGAAAAGTTGGAAATTGATTTAGCGTACTCTGAAGTCAGAAAAAAAAAAGTCTTCCGCTGAAGTTGGAAGAAAATGTGAAGCTTTAATTTCTGTGACAGGAATTACCGCTGTTGGATGCCTTTGTTTATGGTTTCCTCTCCCTGTGGCTCAATATGTAACTACCTGCAAAGTTGGAAACATGGTATCTCCTTGTTTGCTTTGGTGATGGTGTGAAGAAAATAGCAAACTTACTGTAGATGGCTTGGATTTCATTCTTG